TAACTGGGTTTTAGCTACAGTTAGTATAGTGTTTTTTTCTACTTATTATAGAAATTGAATTTATTTTATTCATAGAAAGTATTGTAGAATAGGTTATGCTACATTAGTAAATTATGTCAGTTCAAGTATGATCAAACATGATATTTTGAGGTTTAATAAAAATACAGCTAACTTTAGAAATTACATTGTTTCCACTTTCTACATTTGCAGTTTTGGCTTTAATACAATTTACAGTTTATATTCGGGTTTTATTTTTAGCTTTATTGCTGATGATCAGGATTAGGATTTAGAAATTTTTATAAAAGTTAAAATAGATTTATAGGATTTCAGAACAGCCATTTTGTTAAGAGATTGTAATCAATTGTTCCCAGAAACGGCCCAACATGATCTTTTGACTGGACCACATTCCTTAGGAATTGGTTTGGGTTAGAATTAAGAGTTTCTATAGTGTAGGTAGAATTAGCGTGAAATAGAGAAGAATTGGGATTTAGGTTGGATATTAGGGGTCGTGTAAGCATAGGTTTTAAAAGTTATTGATTATTAGAATATTATGATATTAGAATTGCTGTATTGCTTTTAAGAAATATTAACCAAACATGAGGAACAGTGAGATAGTTTTGGGATCCCCATTCATCATACTCCAGGAAACACCTGGCGGATGGGGGACGCCCCTCATCCACCTGGTTCTATGCTCATGTAAATGTCTTGTGATTTAATTGGGATTGCCCTTCCTCTTACTCCAGGAAACAGCTGGTGGGTAAGGGATGCCCCTCATTAATTGGCTTTGTGTTCATGTAAAGGTTTTGTGATTGTTCTTCCTCATGCCTGAGGAAACACCTGGTGGGTAGGGGGCACCCCTCCTGCACCAGGCTTTGTGTTCACGTGAAAGACTTGTGAGACTGCCTGTGTAAAATCTGGGGATAAATACTCGCTGTAAGTTTCAATAAACGGCTTCTGCTCAATTCACTGAACAGTTGTCCACTTTCTTTTTTTCTCTTTATATCTATCCCTCCATCTTTCTTTCTTTTAATATCTATCCTTATAGAAATGCCGATGCCATCACACCTTCCAAGGGACCACTTAAATCTCTTTTGGGGGCTGCCTCCCCCAAATTCCACCTCAGCCTTCCAAGTAGCCGGAATTACAGGTGCACACTACCATGCCTGGCTAATTTTTTGATTTTTTATTGTAGAGATGAGGTCTCGCCTGCCCAGGCGGGTCTCGAACCCGTGGGCTCAGGCAATCCACTCACCTCAGCCTCCCAAAGGCGCGGGATTACAGGCTGAGCCACCGAGCCCAGTTACCACCCCACTTTCTAAGTGAAATGGAGCAGTCTTCCTTTCTGGGCTATCTCAGTACCCATCTCAGATACATCTAAACGGAGACAAACCATTTAGATTCACACCCTGCCCTCTTGCTTCTTCCTGGCTATGTTACCTTGGGCAAGTCCTGGGATGGCGCCATGTCTAACTTCCTCATCTCTAAATGAGTAAATAATGTAACACTGCTCCAACGCCCTACTATAAGTCACGGATAGTGCTGGGGTGATTAAACATGGCACCTGATAAATAATAAGCACCCCCCCCAAAGGGAGAGACTGTTGTAATTAGGGATGCCCTACAGCATAATGATTATGAACTCAGAGGGTCTTGGGGTCTTGGTTCAAATCCCAATCTCATCACTTATGAACTAAATGACCTCAGGTGAGTTGGTTTAAGTTTCTGAGACTCATTTTCCCCATTTGAAAAATGGGAATAAAACCATGATCATCCTAACGCAGGATTGTTGTGAGGATAATAACATGGTGTGCATGCATAGTTATCACTACCAGCATCATTTTCCATCCTCTTTGTGGATGGTGGAGAGTCTTCATGGGCTGCCTCTCACCTCAACAGAACAAGGCATCTTGCTGAATCCGGTACCCTGAGGAATCTCTTTGCAATACCCCATCTTTGAACGAAGACTCGGAGAGCATCAGAGCCTGGCCAGGCTCAGCCTTCAGGAGACTGGTTTCAATGCATCTCCCTGCTGCAGGGCCAAGAGGCTGTCAGTACTCACAGCAGCAGCTGGTTCTGTGAACAGAGTTCTCCAGAGCACTAGGGACAGAAGAAGGGTTTGGTGATGGTGACTGAGGAAGTGGGGAGGGTGGGGCGGTGGTCCCTGGGAAGGTAGGGTTTATTCCTAGATGGTCTGGACACCAGGGAGGATGCAGAGATCTGGTTTCAACCATATTATTATTTTTAAATTTTGCTGCAAAGCCATTGTTTCAATGAAGGCTTGGGCAAATGCCCAGTATGCAAAGCAGTTAAAAGCACAACTGTTCTACTTTCAACCAGGGTTGGGGGTTACCCCAGGTCTCCTCTTCACATCCATGGGGGCCTCCAGGAGGCCTGGTTTGAGAAAAAACTGACAGGGATGTCAAGACACAGGCTTTGGAGTCAGACCTAGGATTTGCATTCCTGTCTCTGCTATGTGTATGTGAACTTGTGGGCCTCACTTCACCTGTCTGAGTCTTAGTCTTTTCATCTGAAAATGGGGCAGTAATAGCACCCACCTCATGTAGTTGTGATGTTTGGAGAGAGTAGCTGTAAAGTGATTAGTATAGTGCTTGGCACATGGTAAATGTTTAGGCATTTAGCAGGTGGTAGCTGTTTTCATTCCCTAAGGGAGAGCTGAATTCATGATAGGTCCTCCCAGAATATATGCTCAATACAAGGGAAGATGTGAGGTGGAGTAGAAATTACTGGAATTGGAACCGAAGAGGCCTGGGAACTACTTGGGTTCTGATTTCAACACCAGTATCTTGAGTGACTTTTGTCCCTCTCTGGGCTTCTTGAGTCACTCTTCTAATGTTTATTGAGGGCTTACTATGTGCCCAAGTCTGTTCTATGTACTAGAACACAAGTCCTAGCATCTGAAAGGCTTAATGATATACTCAGCTCTGTTACTTCCTAGCTCTGTGACTGTGGAAAGTTCACTTCTCTTGGGTCCTCATTTTCTCCATCTGGAAAGTGAGACGAATGATTTATGGCACAGGATCTTCCTAGAAAATATTCAAAAAGATCATGCCAAAAAATTGCAGCATGCATTTGGACATAACTCTGAGAGGAAGACATTCTGGAACATGGGGTTTGGAATCACACAACTCTGGGTTTGAATCCTGTGTCTGCAATTTTCTGTATAATCTTGAGCAAGGGATTTAATTTCTTGAGTCTCAGTTTCTTCATCTGTAAAATGGGGATAATAACACTACCCTCAAAGGGTCATGGTGAGGACTCAAGAAGATGATACATGTTAAGTTCCTGAGCACATAGTAGGTTCTCAATAACTGCCATCTTTGTCACCACCAACATAATCATCAACATCATCACCATAATCACTCTCAACACCATTACTAACTAATTGCTGTCATTATCATCACAGTGACGATGACCACCACAACCACCATCATCCTCATTATTACCATCTATAAAATGAAGTTCAGTGGCTCAATTCTATAATCCCAGTAATTTGGGAGGACTGGGCAGGAGGATCACTTGAAGCTAGGCATTCAAGACCAGCCAGGGCTACATAGTGAGACTCTGCTGCAATAATAACAATAATAATAATAATAATAGTAATAATAAATTAGCTGGGCCTGATGGCTTATACCTACAGTCCCAGCTACTCAGGAGGCTGAGGTGGTAGGATACCTTGAGCCCAGGAAGTCGAGGCTGCAGTTAGCTATGATTGCATCATTGCTCTCCAGCCTGGGCAACAGAGTGAGAGTCTGTCTTAGAAAAAAAAAAGTCTAAATAGTCTCTATGATCTGGACATTCTGGCATTTTAAGCCTTGGCTTTCATGGGGAGAATTAAGCAACAAATGTAGTAGCTCACCCTGGGCCACCTGGATGGGAAACTTGAGATGTGAGTTTTCAGTAGAGACAGTTCTCCTTCGCTTTGCAGAGTAATTCCGGGCAGATCTTGGTCTGTCTGAGATTCCCATCCTTTCCCCAACATGCACCCCATCCCACAGTTGGCAGAAATAGGACCCTTGCACCCTGCAACACTGGGAGTCATGGGAATTTGTACCTCATTTTACATTTCCCTTTTTAATAATTTTATTTCATTGTCTATAGTGTGATTTCACTTCAGAAACCCAGTCTGGATTTTGAGGATGGGTCTTTGGCCAAGGCTCAATCTACTTCTTTAAACCTAAAATTTCCCCTCATCCCACTTGAAATTTCTCTTCAAACCACATGCTGAAGAGTGAGATTGGCACATGCCTTCCTGGGTCTGTGTCAATTCCTTTATCCTCTCTGTCAAAACATTTGCAGTGCAGGACAGGTTACAGATCATGGAATCATAGCAACCCACAACTTGGGTATTCCTAATGCCTATCTAGGAAAATAATGTAGTCATATACTCATTTTACAGATGGGACTTGGAAGCATTAAATGACTTTTCCAAGGTTGTATGGGACTGGATCTGGCTTCCAGAAACCTGTCAAGTGCTTATTCCATGAAGCTATCCTGCTCCTTAGACATTTCCATTTCATAAGCCTCAGTTTTTCTGCTCTGACTTCTAAGTTACCCTGGGTACTGGTCAGAAATCTACAGCACTATGGGTGAGGACAGGCCAGCCGGACTGACCTTTGGGGAGAAAACCCACTTGGAGACCCCTGCACTGGCACTAAATTCTTCTCTGATCAGAGAGGAGCAGCGAAGGTCTGGGGGTGTGTGGGAGACGGGGTGAGAAATTATAGCTCCTTTGATGGAAGATTGAGCGATGGTCTTAGAACAAGTGTGCAGTAGGTAGGCTGTCACTGAGTGTGATGTCGAGAATACCGTCCCCACCCTTCTGGACTCCCCCTTTCTCCTCTCTAATCATCCAATTACTTAACTTATCTGCCTGAGGGGAGGGCGTCGCTTCCCGTTCATCCCCTGCTCCGCGGCATCTCAGCGCTGTCCGTGGTGCTGACCGCCAATCCCCTGATTGCCATTTCGACCAGCTAGGATCTCTGGTGCGCCCAACCTCCCCTCCCGGCCTCCCACCTTCCTCTCTCCAGGCACTGCACACATAAACCACAGTGGGAGACAGGCTTGGTCCCTTGCACTGGGAAGCGGCTGCTCCCTCCCTTGCTCACACAGGGTTTTGCCGTAGTGGTGGCAGCGCGGTGGAATCCGGCACTGGGGAAGCAATTGATTCGTCCACTGCCAGCAGCCCAGAGTTGCCTACGCGGACTGAAGAGGAAAGGGGGGGGGGGGCGGCGGAAGAGGGAGAGGGAGAGAGAGGGAGCGAGAGGCTCGCAGAGCAAAACCCTTCATCCATGTGGAGGACAGTCTGAGGGAGCCACTGTCTTCGCCTCGTCCACTGACTCACTGGCTGGTCTGAGTTTTCTCCTCTCCTGGCAGTGGTATTTCTTTTTGTCTTGGTCCTGCATGATTTAGGGGTAGTTGGTGTGTGTGTGTGTGTGTGTGTGTGTGTGTGTGTGTGTGTGTGTGCATGCGCGTGCACTGGCGCTTTGATTTTATTTTGGGAAGAGTAGGAGAGTCGAATGAACAATTTTCTTTCAGGCACCTCCGCTGAGCTTTCCAACCAAGTCATCAGGACTTAGCATCTTCCTACTCGGCAGAGAAGAGAGGAGTTGGCAAGAATTTGGCTCACCCGTTCCCCCTGCAATCCTCTGGTGTCGCGGTAAGTGCTATTCCTGTCGGTTGTGCAAATGGGCTAGGGGTGTTGGAATCCCTAATGAGAGATCTGTGCACGAGCCAGTGAGGTAAAAGGTAGTTGGGAGCATAGGGGTATTGAGGAATGACCATGTTCATTTGCCCACATGCTGCAGTGTTTCATCTCCTAAGCAACACCCCAAAACCAAATGAGACTTCGGCTCAGTGCCCGGGCAGGGGATAAAATGTGCCCATGTTTTAGGCAATGCCATCAAGACTGTGACTTCTGCCCAGTCTGCCCTCGGCTTTGTATCAGCTGCTGTTGAAAGTAACCAGCAGTTCACTCAGTGAATTAACCCTTTGTGGGGCTGGGCAGTCTGGCATAGAGGGTCTCTGGGTGTTCTGATTTTGCAGGTGAGCATCTTGGCCCTGGATGGGAGGAGGGTCACCTGAGGCTGGAAGTTTAACTCTTGCCTGTGCATACTGGGTGAGCTTTACATAGGACCGTCTTCCAGGGACAGTTGAGTAATTTAACTATGGTTCTTTCCTGAGATGGGAGCCATGGAGGGACTGCACTTTGCTTGGAATGAGTGGTCAGACAGCTAGAAGGGTACAACCAGCTGCCAGCAGAAGATGTTTTATTTTCACAGGTGGTGTAACCTGTAAGTGATCGAATGGGGGGAGGGGCTGCATCCTGGCCCTAGGTTGGAGACTCTATCCTTGAGCCTGGCTCAAAGTAAGGATGAGAGGGTTTGTTCAGATTCTGGGAAAAGGTTCCAGGATCCAGCTTCAGACCTGTTCTGGGGCAGACTATACCCCTAGTTTCTTTTTCTGACATCCTGATAGGGTAAGGCTGCACCAACCTGTTAGTGAGTGGGAAGTGATGGTGTCTTGCAACTGAATCCAAAAGCTCACATTTAATTTTCAAGTGCCCTTGCTGCTAATCTGTGGCCCATCAAAAGGAGATTTCTCTTTTGCTTCATGCTTTGATTATATCTATCTTTCTGGAAATGAATGTCCTTATTTTTAGCATCTTTGCTATTATCTCCAGGCACACTCCAGCCTTCCGCGCCCCCAAGGATTTCCTCGTTAGGCTCGTGCTCTTAGAGGTGGGAGGAATAAAACATCAGCCCCAGAGATTGGCGTGCCTGAGGTGGAAGCAGGGTCCACTTGTTCTTTCTCTCCAGTTCCCAAGCCAAGTGGGGGCACCAAGATCCTCCAGCATGCACCTGCTCAGGCAGGACACAGGAGGCAAAGGGGAAGGGTGGCTGGGTGGTTAGCACCAAAGATTTGGTCCCCAGAATTTTGAGCATCTCCCCTGGCTTCCCTTGCTGGGTGACCTTGAAGAGGGAGTTGCCTTCCTTTCCTCCCTGGAAAGGCTCAGATGTGCATGATGAATATGAGGAAATCTGGTTCAAATGAGGAGTCACAGATCCAGCCATGGGGGAGATTTAAAATGTTGAAATTTGACCAGAGTGGCTGGGGTCCTGGGGTGGGGGATTTTAGGGATCTCTGACTGTACTGTTAACCCTTTCGTTTCTGGATTCTAGGGAGATTTGGGAAGAACTTGGGAGGTTATCAAGGGAGCTACAAGGGCCTCAGGACAATAGTACCACCCAGGACTGGGATATTAAAATATTTTAACAATGGGTTCAGCCATGCATTGTGTGCCAGCCCAATTGATGTTGCTAGGACTGGGTTGTCCAGATGTAGACATGTCCCAAACATCTTTCTGCTGCCTTACTTCCTTCAGGTGGCCACAATCCAGGAGGCTGCCCTCCCTCCTCCCCCGTTATATCTGAAGTGGTGCATTGTGGTGCGCCAGACAGAGGGAAGCAGAAGCTTCTGGAAGGAGACTTGAACTTGGGTTGGTAGACCTGGGTTCCAGTCCCAGCTCTGTCTCCTATTTTGGGGCCTCAGTTTCCCCATTATGCAATGAGGCAGTCTGTCTAGGTAACCCCAGACACCTTCCAGTTCTGAGGTTCTGTGGCTATGTAATAAGGATGTGTGTGTGTGTGTGTGTGTGTGTGTGTGTGTGCACGCACGTGCGTGCCCACACTGCTAGGAAGGGTTGGCATTATGAGAATTTATCCTATTTGGGGTGATTTGGGATGGGGGAGTATTTTGTGAAACTTTGCAGGCTTCTAGACTCCTGTGCTCAGCTGGAAAGTGGGCTGCTTTATTCTGGGTCTTAGATGCATAGACACACATATTTGGCTGTACTTGAAGGCCCCATAACGACTCTTGGGGGGGACGGCAAGGGTCCTTTTCAGAACTTCCACTCTGAAAAAGATGCATATACACCCAAACATACAACACTTGATGGGGGGTTCTTGGATTCTCCTTACTGGCCATCTGAGGACCCCAAGTTCAGAACCTCTGATTCTGGGGGTCCAGAGAGGGAAAGCAGCTTGCCCAAGACTACACAGTGAGTCGTGGCAGCAACATATGAATCCACCAGCACAAAGACCCCTCATCATCCACCAGCATCATCCCCTCACTCCAGGCTCTGGCAGTCCCCACTCAGCCAGGAATGCAGAGGGACAGCACCTAGCAGCACCTCTCCAGCCGGTGCTGCTGTCAGGAAGCTTAGCCAAAAGGGCAGCGGTGGGCATTTCCTCTCTTGCTGGCAGGAGAGGCAGGGGTCAGAGCTTCTGCAATTCCACAAGGGTGGCCTGGAGAGTCAGTCCCACCGGCCTGCTCAGTCTGTTTTCTTCCTGCTGCTCCACATGCATGCTGGCAGCCTTGTCTGAGGATATGTTTCTGGCTGGGCTGGCTGTTCTGGGGGTTATTGTAGAATGTGGTATATTCCTCTTCACTTAACCCTTTCCCTCTCTGTATGTGGGTCCTAGAGGGTTTGTGACTTCTTAATAAAAACCACCATGATGTACGGACCTGTTTCTACTCTTCATCCCCTTCCAGTGGGGAGCTGGTTTTAAGTGCACATAACTCAGGAGCTGATGGGAAGAAAACAGCGTGGTTTCCTTCCATTAAGAGTTATGACTGTTACCTGGGTAAAAATAATTCCAGGACCCAGTAATGGTGGACTGGAGCTGGTGAGTTTAAATAATTCAGCTGCCACCCAGGATGGAGAGCCTTGATGGGCTGAGATATTGAAGAGGCACTGCAGACATAGCCTCCTCCTTCCTTTGCCTCACCTTTCTCTGCCTCCTTAATCAGCCAGGGGCTGCAGTGTGTGGTCTCTGGGGGCAGTCAGACCCTAGTTCAAATTCTGACTCCAATGCTTCTCTGCTGTGGGACTTCAGGCAAGGCCCTTAACTTCTCTGAGCATTGGTTTCTGCAATTAAATGTATTAGGGTAGCATGATATAGTGGTTAGGAAGGCGACAGAGTGAGACTCCAACTCAAAAAAAAAAGAGAGTCAAAGCTTGCAAAGTGCCAAGTATTGAGCCTGAGAGGAAGTAAGTGTCCAACACATGTCAGCAATGGAGAGAATGATGATGGTGATGGTAACAGCAAGATCACTCGACCAAAACAGGAATAGGATGGGGTAGGGGAAGGTGAGTTCTTTGGGCCAGTTGTACAGCTGCATGGCCCAGGAGAGAGAGGATGAGGCTAAGGGACAGGAGCTTCTGGTCCCACTTATTCCCTACTGTACTTCTTATGGAGTTGTTGCAGGCCCCCGGAACACAGTTTCTACATCTGTGAAATGGGCATAACGACTCCCTCTCCCTCAGGCTTGTGAGGCTCCAAGTAATGAACTGGGCAGTCGTGAGTACAGCTGTGGGCCTTGGAGGAGGGGTCAGGGAGGAGAAGCCCTACTCAGAGTCTTTTGTCTCTCCAAATCCCTGGGAAGCTTTTGCTGAATCATCCCAGCCTGGGAGTTCTGAGTTGTGTGTTTTCTCTAGGAAACCTGAGCTTGCCCTCTCTTCCCTTGGAAGCGCTTTCTCTGCCCCTGTGCTCCTTGAAGGGGTCCTAAGGTGCTACAGGGCATGACCCTTAAGGGCCAAGGTGGTACTGTCTCTGTTTTGGGGTTCTTTGTCAGCACACAGCAGGTGTGCAACAATGACTTCCTGAATGAAGGAATGAAGCTTTGATTGACTAGTGAACATGTCAGTTCGGGGGCTACCTTTGGCCCATGGTCCAGCTAGAGGCTTGCATGCAGTAGGTGCTCAGTTAGTGTTTGTTGATTATGATGAGTCATTGACGAAGAGTTTGGAAGGACCTGACTCTCGTCACAGATCTGCTACAGGCAAAGGACAGACCTCTGTCTCCTCCTGTCAGAGTGTTCATTGTGATGTATTCATGTGTTGCACACCTATTGAATGCTTGGCACCATGGTGGGCATTGGTAATCAAATATGACAAAGACACAATCCCTTTTGGGACTTAAATAAGTGGCTACCTAGAAAATGTGACCTTTGGGGGGATACAAAGAGGGCTTCCTCAGTTACCCCAAGACACTTAATTCATGACTACTGAAATTCTATTATTAAAGTCTCATTCTTTGTCAGGGTTTTGCCCTTGGTTAAAAGGCAGATGCTTTGGGGAGGGTTAGTGCATCCAGTCTGATTAATTAGTCATTTACACTTTAGTGAGAAGTTATAAGGTACTCCCTAAAAGTGAGGCGGGCATGCTTTTTTGGAGCAGGGAATGGGGTTTGCACATACTAAGGTCACAAGTAAAAGAGGAGCAAAGAGCAAAGAAAGGCAGACATTGCTGGCTTCACACGCTGTGGGGGTAGAGAGCTCTTGATGCCCAGAGGAGTCTGATTAGCCTAAATCAGGTGTTCATCTACTGCAGTGGTTCTCACAGTGTG